TTACCGTTAAGGACCAGAGCTCCTTTTTACATTTCTGTGGTGTTTGTGTTTAGATGTAATTTTCGCTGTATATTCGCTGTATTTTTCACACACATTGTAATTTAGGCATAGATTCTTAGCTCCTGTTATGTATTTTCTGCCAAAGAACGCCCCAATCTGTGTTCGGCAACATCTCCTGAGTACAGTGATACCACCCATGTATAGGTGTGTCGGGATCTCTGGGGGCTAAAAGACCTTACTTGGAGGGTGCGCATTCCAGTTTTTCAACTTAGAATTTTCCCAGCTGGCCATCATGCACCCATGTCCTATTTGGGACATTTTTGAAGCCGGCCAATGTAATTTACCCCCATCAAACCATATATTTTTGGAAAGTAGACACCCTAGGGTATTTCAAATGGTGGTATTTTAACACTTTCCATGCACTAATTCTATCACAGGTCTTTGTCAAACTTTTGGGTAGTCATTTTTTTGTGTTATTGTTCTCTCCCATTGTACTTTAGGAATGGATTCTCAGTTCCTGTTATGTGTTACTGACAAAGAACTTCTCCTGAGTACAACAGTGCCCCCAATGTACAGGTTTTAAGTTTTTTTGCAAACTTACAGAGGTCAAATGTAGGGCTTTCCCTTTTTCCATGTTTGCACATTGAAATTTGCCACATTGGTTTGCTGGGCCTATGTTGCCTTTGAGATCGTATAGCAGCCCAGGAATGAAAATTAACCCGATCATGGCATACCATTTTCAAATGTAGACAACCCAGGGTATTTCAAATGGGGTATTTCCAGTCTTTTGTAGTAGCCACTTAGTCACAAACATTGGCCAAATTAGTGTTTTTATTTGTTTATTATAAATGTTTTATTTTTCAATTTATATTATATATATATATATATATATATATATACAAAGAATCAGTGAAGCAAGGCACTCCTCCTCCATACATATATTGTATAAATGTGATCTTGATAAAGACCCCAGGAGGGTCGAAACGTTGGTCGGTGTGTATCTCACAGCAGATGTATTTTTTATGATACATTAAAGAAATTTTTTTTTCACTAATTTTAAGACCCAGTGTGCTCCCTGGATTACAAGTGTTGTATATATATATATATATATATATATATATATATACATATACGTTTGAGTGTGTGTGTGTATGTGTGTGTGTGTGTATATATATTTCCGATATATATATATATATAACATATTATAATAAAAGCATTTTATAATATATTATACATATATAATGCATAAATATGATTTCATTATAAGTGTATTTTGAGATATATGTGTATATATCTCACTTATAATGAAATCATATATGCATTAGATATGTATAATATATTATAAAATGCTTTAAATATTTTATAATATATTATACATATATATATATATATATTTATTTATTTATTTCAATTTTTTACAGTCTGGGGGACTGTCTGACAGCACAGACAGTCCACCTGCTGGCAGCTCCTAGACTCCTATTGCGGCGATGTGAACATGGTGACC